AGCCATTTCTTTTCTTGTGACTGAGATGTCACCTTGCAGGAATGTGGCCCTCTGCCATAGCTACTTGACTACGACTCACCTAAAATAACAAGGATTTATGTAACAAAACATATCTGCAGGGGCTATGCTCTGAGAGACAGCCCAGGAAGGTAATAAAACTTTTGGTAGAATAAAATAATTATGGCTTGGAAGCAAAGTTTTCTATTGCTATATTCATGATTTCTCTTTTCTCAGTATAGGAACCTTCATTTTAATTTAAAGCTGCTATAGCATGATCTTGAAAAATTCAGAATTTGTTTTGAATGATTAATATTTTCAGCACTTATATTTTGTAAACCTTTGGTATATTGAAGCAGGATAAGACAGACTGCTTTGGCTGAGGAAACCAGTTCTTGGCTTTTCTAAGTATCCCTGTTGCTAGTTTTCTTTTGTAGCAAATGAAACGTGACTCTGCCTTTGGATGGGCTTTTCGGATAAAAATGCCGTTCTTTATCTCTATTGTCTGACTCATCCACTGTCTGTTTTAGCTCCATGTTCAGCAGATCAATAAAGAATAGAATACACCTGCTATTTAAGAATACTGTAGTAGGCAGAGAAGAAAGATGACAATAATAAGACATAATTCCAAAACAAAAAACTGATAGTTTGCCAAAATAAAATATGTCTCATATTTTATCTATAGTTTCAAATGTTTCATAGTTAACTGGAATTAGTTATTTTCTGTTCTACAGATTCAGTTAAAGAAAAATTAATTGCAGAATTTGTAGGGTTCTTTTTTTTTTGTTTTAATTAGATAACAAATATGTGTCAAGTAGTTAAAATTAGGCCAAAATTCAGTTAACATTAAAGAACTTTACATGACAGTGGGTCCACTGGGAGAGTTGTATGTAATTGCTCTCAGCTGTAATGATCAGGCTTAAAAATTCTTAATATTGTGCCTCAGATAAATAGTATCTTAGGTATCCTATTCTAAATACAGAAAATAGAATTTTTATGAAAACGGCCCTTATGGTTTTTAAATCATTGTGGTTTATGACTCAACATGAAAATCAGACTAATTATGGTCTAAATTAGACCACTGTTTCTATTTTATTTATATAGGTTGGTGATTCCCTTTTATAGTTAATCTATGAGCATAATTGGAAAGTGGCAGTGTAACTGTTGGCTGAAAATGAAGTTATCAGTGGGCTCTATATTATCATTTGTTAAAGTTTCACCCACCTTTCTTCCAAGAATTCAAGGTGGGATACAAACATTCCTTTCCTGTATTTCCCTTAAGCAGCCACCGTGTGAGGTGGATCAAGCTGTGAAATGATTAGCCCAAAGGCCCTCAGTGAGCTTCCAGTGCTAAGGACAGTATTGAACCTGGGTGTTCTAGTTCTAGTCTAACACATTAGTTACTTCATTGCACCACAGCATGTATGTGTTGGTGTCTGTCCATCCGTCCATCCATCCATCCATCATCTCCTACGTACTCCTATTTAGTTGAACAGTACAGAACAGAACAGTAGTTGTCATATTTGGATCACAGAACTGGTCTGCAATTATGAATTTTCCTCATAAATTGCTAAAAGAAAAAAAAATCTCCTTGCTATTTCCCCCCAGTATTGCCTAAAATTATAAAAGGCTACAACCCCTTAATAGGTTTTCACTAATAGGACTAAGCATCAAGGGCACAACTTCATAGATGATATTATTTTGGGGGTATCAAACATTTTCCCCAAGTTTTATCATTGAAATGAAGTATTCAAAGTGGCCTATATTTCTACTGATATCTTTTTAATTGTTAAATTACAAGTTATCTTTCACTAAAGTATTTGGAATTCAATCCATAAAACTGCACAGGAAAATATTCTGGTGGACTGGGATCTTCAGATCTCAGGTTACAACTTTATGACCACGTGTGAAATAAAATCAGATAAATATTATTTGGGGCACAGGTGCAAAGCATATAGATTGGATGCAGACTTTAGGGAAAATAATGGAAGTAGCAACTTTATACATTCATTTTCTCCACTCATGTTCAAAATATGTTCATAATTCAGGATTACAATTGGCTATAATGTTGCATTACATAATTACACTTAAAAACAGAACATTGGAACAATATATATAATTACTTCATTGCATGTGAGAGTTTCTAAGAAATGTATAATCACACCACCTGCTGGCAGTAATATAGTATTGACTTCACTGTAGAAACAAATGGACACTTTTGCCTGCCTGGCTGTTTTTGTACACCTAGCTTTGGTGTACAAAATTCTGGTGTAAACCAGCAGTGGCAACTGGTTCAGTTTCACATGATACACATAACCTGACATAAGCCTTGATTAAAGAGCTGTATGAAGGAGGAATAAGATGATAGATTCTATGGCCCTATTGAATACAACAGAATTTTAGGATGTTGCACAGAGCCACGCTACATTCTACAGTATGTTTTTTTTTCCCCCTGGGTTGGTGCAGGGTGCTTTGTAACCCTAATCCTCAAAAAATTAACTAATTAGGAATATAATAATGCTCTTTAGCCTTTCAGTCTTGTTGTATTTCCTGATTTTAAAACTTCTGTCTTTTTAAGTCCTTTCATTTTATATAGGCCAAGACTTAGTGAATGGGAAAAAACTCTCTGCTCAGGGTGTTCAGTGTGTCCCTGGGCTGAAAGAAGTTGAGATCAAAGGCTCTTGCCAAGACTGGCTATCTCCAGGAATTTATTTCAAACACTTTCATTCAAATACAGAATCAAGAAGAGGGGAGAAATAAGAGGAAAGAGAAAGTACAGATATGGAAGACCACCGATTGGGATGATGGCTTTGTTGGATTCCAAATTGCAATGTCCACACTGCTAGCCTTTTACAATAAATCCTAGAACAAGCTGTGGGGTGAAATATGGTAAACGCAGATGTTTTTAACAGTTCTCTATCAGAGTATTTGAGTATTTTAATTTTATGGCAAGATTTTTCTTTTGAGGAAAAGCAGACATCATTTCAGAATGCAAAGCTATCCGAATTATTTTATTTATTCATCAAATTTGTCACCACCCATCTTGTAAAACGATTAGGAATATTAATAAAACAGCACCACAGAGGCTGACTTTATGCATCATACCACATCATAATGTGGTTTGTTTCATTTTAGCTTACTGTGCTCTGAGGTTTAAGACAATGTGTGAATTCAGCCAAAGAATGTATTAAGGAGGAATTTCCTACTGGGTGCAACTGGATCTGCTTCATCCTTTAGCTAGGATAAGCTGAATAAACTACTATTGGCTGACTCTGAACAATATACTAAACCATAAACCATTTACTACAAAAGTAGTAAGATTCACACAGCATACTATGGAAAAACAAAACAATCCACTTGTCTTCCCAAATTTTGTGAAACTAATTATAAAGTGATATGCAAAGTTAATTCTTCATTTTGAGACATGGAGTGGATTGAACATTAAATATTGTTATCATGGGTGTTCATAGGGGATCAAGGGGGCAAATACATGCCTTAGGTGCTTGCATCAAAAGTCATGATGCAAATTGCACTGCTGTATCATTTGCTTGATGACAACACAATGCACATGTCATTGTTTTGACAACAGTATGGCTTCTTATGGATTCCTATGTTTATGCAGTGTGTATCCACTGATAACACTTTACAATAAGATTCTTAGAATTATCCCTTCTGAGAATTTGAGTTACTTAAACTCGTTATCAGATGAAACAGTTAAGAGTACTCCCTCCAAAGGAAGTGGCTGATCCAAATGGGTACTAGCTTCTAAGCTGGGGTGAGGAAGAGCCTCCAGCCATGCAAAGTAGGTCTTATCAGGTACAGAATGTACTTATATTAGGGGCTCTCCGAAAGTTTGCTGCGCAGAAGGAACAAGCAAATGATTGTGAATGCTCTTCCCCCGCCCCGTTTTTTGGTGGAAATAGAACATAAGAAACAGCTGGAATATATAAGCAGCCAGGTCTTAATAGGACTGTCGTTGTACATACACACAAATTAAAAGCAACGAAGTACTCCAAAGACTGCCACATTTTATTGGGGGGGGGGCATACGGAGGGCTCAACTAACTAGATCAAAAGTGAAATCCTCTTGTTACTCCTCCACAATTGCAATTCCGTGATTCCAACCTAAATGTTTTTCTAAGAAATTGTTTTTGCCGTTTTGACGAAGATTAAGTGGAAGCAGTTTAAGGCTGCAGCCTGACTTGGTTATAATTTTTGATATGAAAAGTGTCTCTCCTTCCATATAAAAAAGTAAAAATGTCCTCGAGTTGAGCTCAGTTTCTCGGGTCAACACGTCCACACAAATAAGCCTCTGGACAACCGCCAGATGGTAAAAAACAGCTACACAAAATTGTAACTCTTTCCTACCTTCCAGTGATCGCCTGGATTACTGCAGGCTAGAGCTGGTAGTTTTATAGAAACACAGTTATAGAGTAACATTTCTTTATTTGCAAAGTGTTTATTCCGGCCCAGAAATAACAGTTCAACTCTCAGTCCGGCCACATAACAGATGTGGTTGGTTTACCACGGTCTTTTTCCAAGGGATTTTTCTGCTTCCTAGTCTGGCCTACTCTCCTTCGCAAGTCCTAACTCGGAAGATCCTGCTTAGTTTTTCACGCCTTCCTGCGCAGCTCCCGGGTTTCCTCCCTCTCTGTCCGCCTGCCTCTGGCTACCGGCTCGTCAAACGCCTCGCCAGCC